AGAATCCTGCAGACGTTGTCTCTAGAGGTCTAAGGCCACAGGACTTAGTCGACAACAACATATGGTGGACGGGCCCGAGCTGGCTTTCGGAAGACGAGAGTGGTTGGCCACGTATCGCAAACATAAGGATGGCAGAGGACGACGTGCCTGAACTGCGAACAATTCGGTTAGCTTTAACTGGCATGATAGTGCCAGAAATGGACATGCTACAACATCATTCGGAGTGGAGCCGATTAAAAAGAGCAACCGCTTGGCTCTGGCGCTTCATCGACTATCAGTGGCCGCGATTCTCAAAGGTTGTTCATGAAACCAGCTATCTAACGGTGAGTGAGTTGCGAAGAGCCGAGTCTTCAATATTGAGAAGAGTTCAGACAGAGGCTTTTCCGAAGGAACTTCGGGCGCTACAAAACGGTAAGGAGTTGCCGACTCGGAGTAAGCTAAGATGTTTGCACCCATTTTTGAAGGATGGACTCATTCTGGTAGGAGGACGGTTGAAGAATGCCAACATACCTGATACGCAGAGACACCCTATTGTCTTACCACCTAGCCACAAAGTAACTCGATTGTTAATGGAGTATACACACAAGGAATTGCTGCACGGTGGTCCTCAAAGCATGCTGGCTGAAATGAGAAGGCGCTATTGGCCATTAAGAGGCCGGGTGATGGCACGCTCCGTGGCGCATAAGTGTGTAAGGTGCATACGCGTCAAGCCAACTATGCTACAACCAATTATGGCTCCATTACCACGGGATCGAGTTCAGCGCAGTAGGCCGTTTGCTATAAGTGGCGTAGATTTTGCGGGACCACTCATCATTAGAAGTGGAGTACGCCGAGTAAGTGGCAGGAAAGCATGGATCGCAGTGTACGTTTGTTTCTCTACAAGAGCTGTCCACTTAGAGCCTGTGGAAGATCTCACGAGTAGTGCATTTATTGCTAGCCTGCGACGGTTCATGGCACGTCGAGGCAAGTGCACTAAAATCTACAGCGACAACGGCACGAATTTTGTGGGAGCACAAAAAGAGCTAAGTCCTTGTTTAGCTGGTATCGACGACAAGATGGCAAAAGAGGGAGTAGAGTGGCATTTCAACCCACCATCCGCCCCTCATTTCGGTGGTTTGTGGGAGAGCGCAGTAAAGACGACAAAGTTCCACTTAACACGCGTGATAAAGGATGCTCGTCTAACTTTAGGAGAGTTAACCACGTTGTTGTGCCAGGTGGAAGCGTGCGTTAACTCTCGGCCTATGACACCGCTTAACAGTGACCCTTCAGAAGCGGAAGCAATCACCCCAGCTCATTTCTTAATTGGTGGCCCAATGATGATACCACCAGAAGCGAACATACCCGAAGAGGACGTTCAACATCTACGTCGTTGGCGCTTTGTGCAAGGCTTAATGCAAAGCTTCTGGAGGCGATGGCATGCCGAATATCTACCACAACTTCAGGTGCGAGGCAAGTGGACTTACCAGAAAAAGGACCTAGTAGTTGGAGACGTGGTTATTATAAAAGAGGACTGTACTCCACCAACAAAGTGGAAGCTAGGACGAGTAGTGCAACTACACCCAGGGAAAGATGGCACAGTTCGAGTAGTCACATTAAAAACTGCCAAAAATAATGAACTCCGTCGGCCCGCCGTAAAACTCTGTCGACTGCCAATCGAGTCAGAAGACAATCAAGATGAATAGCATTGTGGTTGAAACTTAAGGTTTCAACGGGGGGAGGATGTTGAGGCTATAACAGGTAATGGAGCGCAATTCTATGCCGGTTATCGCCAATGATACAGATGCCCTCTTATCTTGGTTGTCGCGGCCGTCCACACCACTCCGCCCTACTCCGCACGATCTATACTGGCAATACTACCGGTCAGCTGTTCACACACACACACACACACACACACACATATACGCACCGGGTTATACTATGTAAACAAATGTGCCACGCCCGTATTATCAGTGTTAGTAGTGCACTTGTTGCATTCTTGTGAATTTGAAGTATATAATATTAATCTAGACTTTTTTGTGTGTTTTTCTTCAGTGTTTTTTAGTTTTAAGTGTTATTATAGTATTTTTAAGCCATAAGGGCACTGTGATTTTTTATTATTATTGTCTTAAGGACAAAAGATTGTTTATTATTGTATTTTTAAGCCATAAGGGCATTATTGAGTTGTCATAAGGACAAAAAACTATTTTAATATTTTTGTTTTGTTGTTCACTTTACTTTGTGTCTAGTATTATTTAGGTTTAGGTAGCAGCCCTGGCCAGCGGTTTGCAGTTCTCCGGTTTGTGAGTACTTTTTATTTATACCATATTTTATTGAGTTTGTTTTATTTGTATTTTAGTTAACTACTGTGAATTATTGGAACATATTTTGATCTCATTTACTAAATACGAGTTAGGGCGATAGACATAAGGTTAATCGTACCATCTATATTGCTAGTTAGCCATAAGGGTTCAATCTAGTCAATAATCAATATTTGTATTTGTGAATAATTTTTGTTGTTCTAATAACCACCTTAGTTATCAAAATACTTTTAACGTCATAAGCTTTAAGCACTCACTTAACTTTACCTTTTAATCTAGTCATTACTATATTAATTATTTATTTGTGTTTGTGAATTATTATTCACAGACCAGATTAATTTATTATTGTGCCAAAAGGGCAATTAATTCCTTTTAGTTTACCAATCTTTTTTTTTATACTAATTATTTATTTGTGTTTGTGAATTTTATTCACAATTGTATCTTGAGCCAAAAGGGCTAATTATTTATTTATTACCATTTATTATAGCATTTTATTGAATATTAATATTATTATTATTATCATCGAGTTTGAGTTTTATTTATTTAGTTTTTAGTTATAGTTTTAAGTTTCCTACACATTCACACTATACACACTAAACACACTTTTGCACCACATAGCTCACTGGTCTTGCGTAGGCGATCCCTCACACTTCCAGTGAGACTATTTACCCCACTACCCACACAGCACTGATCGGTAAGTGTAAAGCAATTGGTAACCGGGTAAGTGGCCTATTATTGTCCGCCCCCGGCCCGTTCACTTACAGTTAAGCATTTATCGGTTTAACAGCATCGTTCATTTTTTTTTTAAATTCAAATTAAACTGATTTACCTCTAGTTAAATCCGTTACCACCCCAATTATTAAAAATATTTTTAAATATTACATTACCTTCTCGCCGTATCTTGGTACGAGTCCCTTAGACCCGATCTCTTTAAATTTATCAATTTCCATTCTATATTCTTGTATATAGCCCTTGCTGTCAACTATCGTAAAGCGTATTGTTATTAATTATACATAGTTTGAGTTATTTTATTTTTTGTTAAGCCGTTAACTGCTAATTAAATATAGCATCATGCTTACGGTCATGTGCGGTTCCGTACTCCCTCGTCGTGTTTTCGAATTCCTTGTGGTCATAGTCTTCGAAGTAACAGCACATGTCACCGTAAGAAACATAGTCTCTAGTTGTCATTGTGTGAAATAGATATTCTATTTCCTAAAAAATAGTAATAAAACAATATAATAAGTGATTCATATGCTAGCTTCGACGAGGAACTGAGAAGGTATTGTTTTTGAAATTATGATTTTTTTTTCTGTCTAGACTCTAGACCCACGATAAGTTATGTTCATATTTTGAGGTGTCTGTGAAACAGCTGATGTAGCCCTGTCTTAGTCTTGCACAAGAATTACAAAGAGGGAGAGGAATGGTTCTTAAACATGCATGTAAAATATGTACATGTTCGAACTAAATATCCCTGGGTACAGGCGCACATATTGAGTGTATCCTTATTAATAGCTAATATAAATAAAAACAAACAAAATGTACCGTCTGAAATGCAATTACATCACGCACAGGTTTTGGAAGGACACTAGAAATAGAATAAAAATAATTAATAAATATTAAACTCTTTTATAGTTTTACAACAAAACTGAGAACATTTTTTAAATATTTCAATAATATCCTGAAAGTTTGGGCTGATAAGCGTTTTCATTAGTATTTTCTCTATATTTTTAAACATTGAAGTGAAATACATAATTGTATAGTCTATACTAATTGGCAATATTGCAACGATTTTGTTGAGTTGTTACCATTTGTAGTCAAAACACTTGAAACAATTTATTCTACATGGGGTGCACCATCTTCTATAGATGCTAATATTTTATTAAAAATTGTATTGAAATCTGAGTTTCTTATTTCTTTATATGTTACAAAGGTAAATTCTAATTTTTAAACATTAACACAAAGAAATATATTTTAGACTTTTTTTCCTTTGGACTGCCTGTCTGTAAAAAACTACAGAAAGAACGCATTGATTTGAAAAATACTTTAAATACAATTGAGTTATTAGTAAATACTTTAAAAGAAATGAAACAGGATGCAGAAAAAGAATTTCATCTTTTATATGACAAAGTAGAAGTATGTGATATAAGCCTTATTTGCATGTAGTTAAACATAAAGTATTATTAATTTTTAATATTTTAATAGAGTTTAGCAAATGCTAATGGCACAAAAATATCTAAGAAACGAACAGCAAGAAAACAATCAAATAGAGCAAATCCCCAAGTTTCTTATGTAGAAGAGTACTATAGAGTGACAGTGTTTATGCCGTTTGTAGACAATTTTATCAGCCAACTTACTAATCGTTTTTTAAACCATAAATCAGTTTTTGATAGCTATTGATTTATTTATGTATTATAAAAAATCGGTAATAAATATGTTTTATTAAAATTATTTGAAGGGTTTGAATGTTTATTTAATTCAACTAATACTGATGAAGAAAGGCTGGCATTTGAAAATTTAGTTGAGTTTTCCTGTGAAAATTATCTGGACCCCCCCAGGAAAAATTCCTAATTACGCCACTGGTTTGATAATAAAAAAAACAATTAAAATAGTAATACAATACTGTCAAATCATCTTAGCTAAAACTATATAAACACCCAAGTTTATTTTACGATTATAAAAGTAGGTACTAAAATTCATATCTACCAAACACTGATTTTTTTCTGTAGGTCTTAAAATATATGCGTTGATGTAAAGGAATTATTGATCCATAGTATTTAGCCATGTCTTTAAGGGTAACATGTTTTTTGTTGGTTCGTTTGTGTGCGAACCAAAGAATTTCTTTGAAGACAGTAATCATCGCCTAGAAATTGTTTTTTTAAAAGTTACACAACATTATTATAAAACAACTTTTACCAGTATGAAACTATAAAGCACATAGAATAAAGCTATAACGTCATAATAGTTTTGACATCACCTGTGTAGAACATATTTGTATGTAGCCTTGAGACGCAGCTCTTGCAAATTCGTCAAAACACATTATGTATTCAAGTTGAGTGTCACCTAGAAACCATCACATTATAGCAAACGAAAATCAAGCACAGTGAGATCATTTTATATTGGGAATGGACCATACTAGGATTGAGGAGGTCAAGGGTCTTCAGAAACCCTAAACACCGAATATGATAAAAATCCCTTTCAAATACATACAAGAAAAGTTTTTTATTGCAATAAAACCATTCCGTAGTTATTGATGGTTTAATTGAATTATGAGATTGTAAAATAAATCGGTAGAACAAATCGTAAGCAAGTACAAAGTTGTCGTTGGTCCAATCTAAGTTCATGTTACCTTTTATAAAACGTTTACCGTTGTTTTCAGACCGTATATTTTTAATATTACAAATTTCATACTTGATCGATCTGTCTGAAAAACTACTATAACGATCATATTTCACCTGGTTGTAGGTAGAGGTACGATCGCACACATAGGACAATGCACGTCATGCTGCACCTAATTATAAGTTGACTTTACCATCGCGGATCGCCAATACCCTCGACCTTGTGTCCAATATTTTTGTCCTAATTCGTCTGTCCATTCCCTTAACATGCATTCCGTTTGGACTTCAGCACTACCATAATCGATATAGAACACACTGTCCGTGTCCTATACGACAGTTTTACCCAACTTATTAAGCATATCATACAACCGTAGTCTTACGTCAAATGTTGTGAATTCAGCAATATAGACGTTTGAGTTATAATTGGTTTTTATATACTCCTTAGTATTTTTATATGACACTTCAATCACGTCATCATTCAGAAATACTGAAGTATTAACAACTTCTATTTTATCATCCAATAGAAATCTCTGTTTTGGTTAATTGAGATTTTTGACCGAACTTTCCCCAAAAAAAGTTCAAACACATTTTTGCAACGGATGTCAACCCTGGATTTTCTTATATGTTGTTTATGTCAAAGTCTATACCCATCGCTTCCTCGACAGACTTTATATATTCCTCGATTGTTTTGTAATCATGTTTTCATGGGCTTGCATCTAGTTCCAATTTTAGGAATTTTTTTAGGTCAGTTGACATAAATCAATGATTCTACAGGATACGAGTGATTTATTGTCAAATCACTCATTTTTGTGTATCGAATCCCTTTGGATTGGGTTTGCAATTTCGTTTTCAAATTGTTCATCTTGCTATCTTGTATACACATTTTTTATAGATAGCAATACTTCAGTATAGCTCTCGTGTTTCGTTTCTGGTTGCCCCCATAGTTGCGTCTATTTTACTCATATGTCTCTTCCCCTCATATGACGCTGCCATTTTTTTTTTCGTAATAAATTTGTTGTATTTTCAAATTTCATAGAATTTGGGAAGACATATCCTTTTTTATTATTTGTATGTCTTCTGCAATTTAGATGAGATTTCCAACCGGTCGTTATAGGCCCCTACCTCATCACTATTGAAATGCTACAAACGCGAATGGGCTATTAATTTGGAGGTGTTTCAATTTAGAACAAACTTTTACTTTTTCCTAGTTTACAATACCATCTATGACTGAGTATCGAGCTGAAAACATTCGTTGTATCAAATCTAAACCCTCAGATAAATTATACAAAAACACTAAGCATAAATGTCCACATTTCGGAGGATTGTTAAAATGTTGTACACAATCAGTATTATATTATAATAAATTGTGCTGTCCCACATAATTAACTACCTCTACCGGGGGGTGACATCTAAAAGAATCGAAATAATATTTTAAATTTTGGTTCACATATTAAGACGTCCAGTGACTAGCTTCATCAAAATTCTGGAAATTTGTAACACCACATTCAATTTTATTTCTTGTAAAAGGTGACATATTTTTCATGAAAACCCCTCTGAAGTTGTATATTTGTAAAGATTGTGCCATGTATAACAAATCCAAATTTGTAAGGGGCTTAGCCAGCTCATTCAATAATTAACTATCAATTGTATTATATGATTTTATTTTGGATTTTTCTTCATTTCAAAATGATGTAAATGTTTACTATGCATTTTTTTTCTCGATTTTTAAATGGAAGCGGTGGATTTAATACATTTTCGTCCCACTAAAGTACGTTTCAGGTAAGATTTCTAATCTATGAGCATCTTTCGTAATGCAATTGGTTCATATCAAGTTGGAAATATCTAGAGTCCCGACGCAAAAATACAAAATTAGAATATGACAAAATATACCTTCGAACATCTTAACAAAGTTGGAAAAAAATGTTTCATAAGGTATTTTTTTTTTTTTCAATAAAATGTTTTGGGGTGGTACAAATATTACGTGTAGAATAATAAAATAACTATTACTTTGACTAAATAAATATGGATGGCCGAATTCTTTCATAACGCTTGACAATTCATTCTGTTCTTCATCTTTATAATAGGTAAAGAAAGTTTCTTCATTAATATAGTTTCTGTCGACTCTTATAGTGTCCCATAGAATTGATATTTCCTAAAAGTTTTTATACAATAGTATAATAAATGATTTAAAATATTATTTTTTTAAATTAATTTTAACAAAATATTGCTATTGTACTAATAGTTGTAAAACTTTAAGAAATATGTCAGTAAAATATACAAGGGAATCATTTTTTCGTGAACCAATCAATATCCTATTGGGTTTAAATAATTTATTAATTTTATTGGGATTATTTTCATAAATTCATGGTTTTCATTAATTCATTGATTTATATTTTATACTACTAGGACACAGAGCTAACAGACCAATATAGGGTAATCATTTTAGCATGAAACAACCAATATCATATTGGGTTTAATTAATTTTTTTTTCATAGTGCTTTATATAACGTGATCTCAATTTTCCATACATTTTTACGATCCTACCCCCAAAACGATTTTTTTTATATCATCTTTTTAAACCTAAGTAGTAACGCATACATTTCATTACCTTATTTAATTGACAATAATGTACTAACAATTTTGACTGGTCGATAACCAGTTTTGGATAACTCTTTTTGAAGTTATATAATTTTCAAATTGAGAGCAGAAGGAAAGAGAGAGTAAAGTATTATTTTTAGCTGTGCGCACTTCCCAACCATACTTCCCTTCGCGTCTCAACTTTTAAACTCTTATAACTTTAAAAATATGTGTTGGTTTAGCTTGGTTTAGAATATGCAGGTTTATATTTTACTAAATTTAGAATTTGCTTGTTTTTTTTTATATTGTTTTGATTATAAATATTTATGACAAGAACTATATTTGTAAGTCTTTAACCTCAAATAATAATAGTTTACTAGATAAAAATGACTATTTAGTAAAACGTTAACCTTTAAGTTATAAATAGTTCAGCAAAACATTGACAAAAACCTAATAGTTTTAAAATAATAGGTCATAAATTACCAGACGAGCTTTTTTTTTCTGACCAAACGCAGCTATTTCTGGAAATCAACAAATAAATACTAATTAGTATTATTATGAGCTAAACCAACTTTTTAAGGATTTTGTTTTTTAAGGCTATTTCTGGAAATCAACAAATAAATACTTTTTAGTATTATTATGAGCCAAACCAACTTTTTAAGGATTTTTACTCATTATTAGAAGAAAGTACATTTGCCATACAGACGCCAAATAAATAATGTATCTGTTAAATAACTGCTTTTAAATAGTTTTTTAACTTATAACATTACTTTGCTTTTTTTGTGTTTGTGTAAGCACTAATCATGATAGCTTGGAAAATCGAATGTTAGGTTCTACTATAAGTTGACAGTATTCTCGAATCGGATATACTGTTAGGAATTGTACATAGAAATGTGTTAGTATGTTTTTATTTCTACTGTGCTATATCGTTTGACTATTCACTGAACCATATATTTTAAACTTTTCATAAATCCTGTGCAAAAAATACAGAAAATGACTATTATACACCTGTATGTGTAACTTTGTGTACACGTTGTCTTTTTTAGAATTTAATATCTCTCGTATCAACTTTGTGCATCTATGAACATTTAAAACATTTGGAACTACACATAGTCATTTTATTTTAACTGCGTGAAAAAATATATACTATTAAAATACATTATTATTTTTCTGCTTGATCAAAGTACATTTTATTTTCAAACAAAACACAGGTAAAAAACCTGTTAAATATTTGTAACATATATAAATTAAAATTTGTTTTAAATGTTTTTTTTTCTAGCTATATGCTCAATTATATTCATTTACCACATTCCGGCGATGACGTACCGCCACACCTAAAAAGTAAACGTTCGTTTCTCAATGTATATTTTACACACAAAAATTCTAGGTTTGATTACATTTTTTATGCGAATTTTAAACCAGAAGTAATGTTTAAAAAAATACTTACGGACATATGGATTTATAAAATAATTTACAAAATTTACTTTCTTCAGGCTAAAAAAAAAATTAAGTAATACATTAATTGTATAAAATGAATTTAACTCTAACGATTAGGTTACGATTCTAACTTTAATCTATTATTTATAACAGTATACAAACAATACTAAAAACTTGTCTTGATTACAAATATTTATGACAAGAATTTTATTTGTAAGTCTTAAAGCTAAAAAAAATAATAGTTTATTAAATAAGAATGGCTATTTAAGAAAAATTTAAACCTTATATTATAAATAATCCAGTAAATATTGACAAAAACTTAATAGTTTTAAAATAATAGTATATTTTACCTGAGGTTCAGCCTGAATTTTAGCTTTTGTTTCATTTTCAGATGAAGCTGTACCAGATTCAGTCTGAATTTCCAGGTCAGCTATTATTTTACTTTCAGGTGAAGTTGTATCTGAAGCTTCATTTGTTTGTATTTTAGTTTCTGTTTCTGGTAATCAACGAATAAAAACAATAATTACTAAATATTTTTTTTATGAGTCAAACCAACTTTTCAGGGAGTTTTACATATTATTAGATGATCTCACATTTGCCAATCCGACGCTATAACTTAAACTACTTAACTACTAACAGTTAAACCTACTTTTTTCACTCGTTATAAAGCATAATTGTGCATGGGCTAATCTGACGTCACATAAATCATTT